AGCACGCCACATATCATTTTATTAATCTTAGATCTAACCGAACGATAATGGTCGTCGATCGCGTTGATGCGTAGTCCAATAAATTGACCTAAAATTTGATTCACATACACAGCGAAACTTAGTACAAAGTTGAAGAGAATAGGGTAGACTTACTAACTGTAGTTGCTCTTGTTTTAGAATATAAACGCGATGATGTAATCCCAGGAGCTCTCTATCTTACTCAATTTTTCACCGAAAAGGTCAACGAAACAGACTGACAAAACAAAATGATCGTTCATACATTTTAAACTGCTGATAATGCCAATTGCTTACGTCTTTTTCTTGCCCGTAGAAGAAAAGAAATGAAGAAAAAGAAACCAATCAAGAGTAAAAGAAAAACTCATGACGTCTTTCACCAAAAACCGTATTCCAAAACAAATGTCACGCAAAAGAGTAGCTCATGCTGACAACATTATCGTCTCGTTGTTCACCATGGGCTGTTGTAAGGTTGTTTCTTCTCTCAACGTTTGAGAATTCCTTTTTAACCATGAAAAACAGTTACCATAAGGCATTTGTACCATCGCGTCGAGTAAATTATTATTTGATTTGCGTGATAATATCACTTCACGTGACGTAAGCAAAAAAGTACGGATTTGTCTGCAGAACAGCAAGGACCAGATGTTCGCCTAACTCTCCTCAAAATTCGGTCCTCAAAACATCTCGAAAAGGCTATCTCGATCTGAGACGTACAAGAAAAAAAAGGTCATAGTATTGGTTAATGAAATTCACCAGGCTCTCCGATTTTCTACAAAACCCCACCGAAAGTAAAAGTCGAAGAATGTTGTCAAAGTCACTTGGACTCACCTCTAAACGGCATGATATGTGTAAGATCTCCAATTATCAATGAACCTGAATGGGTCTTACCATGCGAATACAGCCATTTCTCCTCTCCTCGCCGCCCGCTAGGAACGTTTTGCGGGTGTTCGTCTCTTAATAATAAAAAGAAAAAAACACCGAAAACAACGAACACCCACTTCTAAAAAGCACTAACTTGATATACGTGTGACAACATGTAAATTGTGTTTGTGCATTTGTAAACGATCTTTTTTAGCATAAAGATAGACTGTGATAAAATTGGTGAGAATAGTGGCTCCAAAGATATATCTTACACCCCCTTTTACGGAACTGGAGGCAGGGACCCTGGCAACAAGTGAATTGTGTCTATTCGTCTTGTTAATCAGAATTGTATACCTTGTCGTATGTCTCGTATCTTGCTTTTGCTTCGGTCGAGACTCCCATTTCATGCGAGCTTCCAGCGATTTGAAGGGGATTTTGAGGGGGTCTTCCTTTTTTACTTTAGGTGGGGTTTTGAAGAAAAAATTGATCAGATTCATTGATAATTGAAGATCTTGACGTTCCTTACACTTGTCGATCAGTAAGATCAAGATAGCCGTTCCGAGTTGATTTCGTTTTTGGGTCTTAGGGCTGATGTGGTCGTTTTCTACCCACCCCCAGATGTTTATTTCCAAGTAATAGGATAGGATAGCATCAAGCAAGCTATCCTCTTCGAGCGGTGAGCAACGCGCAAGAGTAAAGACAGAACGCGTAAGTGACAGGCCAGGGCGACCCCGTCACAGCCATCTTGCGTCTCTTTCTGGTTCTTATTCGCCTGTATCCTCCTCAGAGGCATGTTTGCTATTATTACTGGAATACCAAGCGGGAGCCTCTGCGGAGGAGAGAGGCGAGGGGCACCAGAAAGAGAGACGCGAAATGACTGGGGTGCGGTCGCTCTGGTTTAGCGCTCTTTGCTGGCTCGCATCGCTCACCGCTCGAAAAGAATGGCTTGCTTGAGCCTACCCTTTGCCAAGAAGTAGCTGTACCCTCCGCCTTTTTCTTTTTTCCCCTGGGGGAAGGGTACTGCCACGTACGCTAAGCTACCTTCTTTCTACGCCTCTATTCTGAGTTTTTACGCAAACCCCAATACCGATATCTCTCAGTGATCAAAACAATTTTATCTTTAATATCGTTTTGTCATGAATATGTATTTCGGGGCATTTCGGTTCTTCAAGTGACAAGGATGATCGATTGATAGCAATTCTTTTGGATCACTTCCGTCCCGTCTGTCCGGATACAATATTAATATCCAGAATTTTCAAAAAAGTCCTTCGTCTAGGGGTATCCCAGAGCCGATGTACCCAGGTATTCTTTGAAAGGGGTTTACTACCATGCCCAACTATAGAAGAAAGGGTTTCCCGGGTTGATACGACGAAAGTTGACTCACTGCTACTAATTCCACAGTCCGCTTAAGCTGTAGAGAACTTAAATAAGTCAATTGCTGTTCTCCAGCTAACTCCGTACGACGGTTACCTCACGTGATGTTAAAACACAAATCAGATGTGACATGTTTGTAATATTTTACTCGACGTAATCAGGTACTAGTGGCGTTTCGTAACAGTGTTGAGAATTCTCAAACGAAAAATGCTGGTAAAAACGTTGAAAAAAAAGAAAGAACCTTACAAGGACGCACATCTTCATTGATCATTTGTTTTGTCAGTCTGTTTTGTTGACATTTTCGGTGACATTTTCGGTGATAGGGAGCTCCTGGGATTACATCGCGTTATTCTACACAAAAAGCAACAACAGTAAGTCTACCCTATTCTCTTCAACTTTGTAATGAGTTTCGCTGTGTATGTGAATCAAATTTTGTGTCAGTTTATTGGACTACGCATCAACGCGATCGAACTAACTGTTATCTTCGTCTAGATCTAAGATAAATAAAATGAGATGTGACGTGCTTGTATGATCGTTAAATATGTTGAAAGGTACTTGAAGTACTTCAAGGCACTCTTTGCTGACATTTTCAATCACAAAGAGAAAAAAGACGCATTATTTGCAACTGAAGGATTGGCCGTGACCTCTTGCATGACATCTGCCCAGCAGTTCGCATTGAATTTTTGGCCAAAACAGCCCGAACTCTTTTCAAACTGGATGCGCTAATTTTTGCGGGCCAAAAACGACAGTTGGAAATAATGACCTACAAGGATAAAGCTTTCACCTGATGTACAATATGACACGTAAATTTATATACTAGGATTTTTATAGGCCTTTAAAGTGGGCCTTCATTTCACCTCAACCCAAAAGATTGAAAGTGGGTTATTTCAACGGGTTTTTCTGTTTTCTTAAACGTGACAAAATTACATGAAGTTTACATTTTTTAAACGACAAAGGGTCTTTTTACCAATATCCAAAATAGCAAATCGGGAATTCAACACGTTGTCGCGTACGGAGTTAGCGAAGGTGCAGAATTTGTCATTGTTTTTCCGGGAGGTCAAGGGCCGCCTCGGCGTAATTTGAACTTTTGGATTTTTCGGAAAAAGCAAAGCGCGATGGAACTTTTTATTTCCATTTTTGAAAATAGTTCACCAAAAGGGTCTTTTAGGTAGAACTGCAACTGTCGGCGGATTCTCAATATTTACAGTCAGGGCCTCTTAAGATTTTGGTCGATTTTTCCTGACCGTCGCTCTTGAAACCGTGACAAGGTCGATTCCCGCGCTATGGCATTGCTTTTTGACAACTTTATTCCATTTTCGTTTAATATAAAGCCTGGCTTTAATGTATGAAAAGTTTTTGTTATGTTAAGTAATAAATCATCCCATACGGCAATATAAGCTAATTGCACAACGTGCAAATATCAGCTGAAAGATCGAGCTATAAAGATTGAGTTATGTAACTCGAGTTTAAACATACTGCAACCGTAAAATCAAACACGAACTTCAAAAGGCGGAAATTCAAAAATACGTCGCATTTTTAAGACCTCTTTCACTGTTAAATGTTTACCCATGCTTTAACTTCAGGCTTCGATAATTAAGCATGCTTAATAACAATCACAGTACATAATAGCAAAGCGACAAATCGCTTGGTAAGCGTACGCTTAAGCTGTTATTCACGCGGACTAAAAGCATGCATTTTGTCGATTAATTCAACCCCTCAAACTATTCTAAGATGTATGCTTAATGTGTTGAAAAGCTTTTCTTACCTTTATCAAAAAGATTTCGGCGCTGTTGATCAATCCACAAGCCAACCAGTTACTGTCTGCATATTGTGTGTGTTCATTGTTTTGTATCACGCAGTATATTTGTCCCCGTACATGACGTATCTATCCATGAGGTAGTACCCAGACTGCTTGCCTGCGTATATATCAAGGGATTCCTTAGGGGTCAGGGGAGGGGGAGAGGAATGTCTCTCCTTTCTCTTCTCTTTCCTCTTTTACGCCTGATACACCCGTACATAAGCAAAGGCGCCTTATTTAGCAATTATTAAATGAGGCTGAATGAATGGATGACAAGAAGAATTATGCAGATTGAGGAGAATGTTGGGGACCCACTCAAATCCTCAGTGACTGTTGTAATCACAGTTTGAATTTAGCACAAAAATTTACGGTGATATCGAAAAAGGTTCTAATTTATTATGTCCTTATACAGACATCTTTAATAGAATAAGGGAGTCTTTTTCCTCGTAGGGTAGTTGTATCAACACTTTCTTTTCAATGGTGTGCTCTCTCTGGACAGTAATGGAAATGGCGCTATAAAAGTAAATGTTACAATAATAATAATGATAATAATAATAATTATTATTATTATTACGCAGCCTACACCTGTGGCTTGAAACATCGGTGGACGTACTTTTTAAGAACTTTGCAGGACATTCAAGATCTATTAGAGCCATTAGAGAATGAAATATCTCAGATGCTCATGCCTGCGATTACTGAGCGCAGGTGCAATCAGCTGGATAGGAACATTCTAGCGCTGCCAGTTCGCCTGGGTGGCCTTGGCCGGGGTAACCCGTCCCTTGAAGCAAGGCGCGAATATGCTTCGTCTGTCAAAGTAACAAAGCCCCTTGTTGAACAAATTGTATGTCAGTCACATCAGTTACTTGAAGATTCCCTCACAAAACTAGCACAACAGGAAGTACGAAGTAAAAGATTAAAGGAAGTCGAACACAGGGCCGAGCGTATTAAGGAGATGGCACTAAGGAAGACTCAGCGAGCACTAAATCTGGCGACAGAAAAGGGATCATCAGCATGGCTTACAGTGCTTCCTCTCCAGGATTTGGGCTTTAACCTGAATATAAGAGGGAGTTCGGTGACGCTGTTAAACTACGCTACGACTGGTCAGCAGAAGATATCCCCTCCACATGTGCTTGTGCTTGCCTTTACGGTTAAACAGAAGATCAAACAAAGCTCAGGATGCGAGGTTAGATATCCACGCGCGTGGTTTCTAGGAACTACATCGATCAGCCTACTTCGATGTGAGGGTCTGTCACCCTGATGCTGCATCGTATAGGGACCTAGAGCCACAACAAATTTATCGTATCCATGAGAACGAGAAAAAGCGTCTCTACTCAAGGAGAGTTCTGGACATCAAGCATGGAACATTTACACTTTTGGTCTTCACCACAACTGGCGGAATGGGAACGCTATTTAATTTTCCTCTTTTTATTTAGTGATTTTCTTATTAAGAATGCAATTGACCTTGAAAATATTTTTTTTAATCGAAATGGATTGTTTTAATTGAAATGAATTTTTTTTAATTAGAATAATTTTATTTAATTAAATGATTTTTTTCTAAAAAAAAAATGTTTTCTTTAAACAAAAGGAATTGTAAATAGTGTTTTGACGGAATAGTTTTTTTAAAGTGGATTAATTGTAAATAGGATCTTAATAGTTAGCATTGTTATCAATAAAATATGTACATTTTAAATTTAAAAAATAAATTATAATTATTATATTATCATTATTTTGATCATCATCATTATTATTATTCTGACGGTCCGTTGGGAAACACATAATGGGCATAATGGGTAGATGATTGCAAGCCTGTGAATACAGCCGTTTCTCCTTGCTCTGTCAAGACGTCCCTAGCATCATTGCCGCAAGAATCAAGGAAACACAGCTGAATTCGATCGCATGCTAGAGGATTGTCGTGACCAAGAGCCTGTCAGTAAGACGAAAATCGTTCATTTTTATTCCGCTAATCCGTTTAACACAAGAGACCAGGTGATGAGGATGGTATATAAGCCTTCCGCGTAAGGGATGCACCATTGGAAATGTGAAGTTGGGAAGGTGGGGCGGGGGGAGTCCAAAAAAGAAAAAAAATCTTGCACTCTGGCTGCTTTTGAAAAAAAATATCATACCTTTCCAGAATGTCCTACCCCCTCCCCCCTCTAATGGTGCATCCCTAAGTGAGATTTCAGCAGGCACCAGCTTTCTACGTCGTCTCAGAGCTCCAACCTTGGTATAGACCTTCTTTAAAACAGTTGATAGGTGGAGGAGAACTTATCGCCGATGTGAACACCAAGAATCTTCAGAAGGTCAACCTAACGTCCACTCGGTTGCAGTGTGTGCGTGTATGAGTAGATTTTCTGCACGCTTAGTCTTTTACTGACTTTTTGAGTTTTTCCTTTATTTCTTTCAGAAACACGAGAAAAGAACAAACAATTATAGTCAGCATTTATTTATTGTCTACTTCTGCGGGTTGGTGAACGCAAATTGTCGCCTGGGTTCAATGCAACTAAGCTTTTAGAGATCTTATACAACATGGTGAGGCACGCGTCGGCCTTCGCTGCTGTGAGGTTCTCCAGTTGAACTATTTAAGTACTGCTTTAAGCATCTCTGTCACGCTTTCTAATTGCTGGTATCTCTCCATAACCCGTCTTGCTGCCCATCGCTGTAGCATTTCCAAATTGTAGGAGCCATTGTTTTCCACTCCTTTAAGTGGCTTACATCGGATCTTTGCTTAAAGAACGAGGCATTCACAGTGTGTAGTGCGCTTGTTCTTTCGAGTGGCTCATGTCGGATCTTTGCTTTAGTGAACTAAGGAGATCAATTTTCCTCTCGACAGCTCTGTCTGTCGAGTCGCGACAACTATTCCTCTCGTACAAGTTGTGAAAAGTATTTTTCACTCATATCCTGTCGACAGTTTTGGACATGACTGGAATTGGCCTATAGGCGAATCTTTGTTTACACTTTTTCCTTCATTAGCATATGCTTATCATTATCTTATGACACTGATAAAATAAAAACTCTGAATATTGAAAGGGTATAACAGTTTTAGTTATGTCTAAAAGTTTGAGCACAATACACCAAATGGTTTCGGAGAAATTCTCTTCTACAAACTCGAAAGTTTACAGAGAATGAATGGCTCATTGACTTTTTTGCCACACAGAAATTTCGCAGTTTTTGATGGCTGATATTTCCTTTAATATTGCTTGTAAAGAGCTGAAAATTGCACAAATTGCTCAACTTAATCCGTCCTTTCAACTCTGGCATTTAGTTCATATACACCTATTTCGAGAAAGGTTGTCGAAAAAAGAGCACGCGACAATCCCGAAAGGTATTGTGGGTGGTTTTGAGTTCGCCGTTCTTCAAAGAAATTTGAAAGAATGGCATAAGAGGCAGTGGACGTATGTTTGCGCATGCTAAAGGAAAGCAAGAAGTTTTGACAACTAAAGTGACAGGAACAGTGTATTGATCATATCCCATATTAACTTTCGGGATTGTCGCGTGCACATTTTTGCCACGGTTTCTATGAGTTAAGTCGTATGCTAATGAGGAAAGATGTAAAACAATGACGTCAGCAAAGATTCGCCTATTGCACATTGTGATGGTAAGTTGAAGTCTGTGCGCGTGCTACAAAGACACGCACCCGCGATATTTTTGGTCATCGTTTTTATTCTGATGCATCTTCAACCGTCAACACGAACACGATATGATCGAATGCGCTTTCTCTTTTGTTCACTTTTAAAAGCGTCTTCAAATCGATGCGTTTTCGTTGAAAACGGACAACCTGTTGGTGTTCCCAGAAGGCCTAAATGAATCGAAATGTATGCAATTTCAAACGAAAACGTATTAGATTGGATAAGGCCTCGTATAAGAGCTATGCATTATTGAGCTTCAAAATAGCTCATACGTCAGTGGTGTGAGCGTATGTATCTTTGTGGCTTTGTATCTTTGTATGTTCGGATGATTGTTGCAAGAGCCAATAACGTTGAAGGTACCATGAGTTGATGCTTAGGAACCAATGAGATCTTGGCATCTACTTAAACATGACATTGCTAAAGGTCGAACAAGGGCACTTTGAGACCGCCATCTTGATTCTTCACAATTTTCTCGTCTTTAATTACGGCTACAGGTGTTTGGAAACATATTAAATATCTTCATGATTCAAACGCTGTGTACAGTGATGCAGCTGTTTAAGGGTTCATATTTTAGTGTGGATGCTACTTCAAGACATTTCTGACCGAATTCGGCTATCGCTAAAGGTACTGACGAACGTATTTATGAGTTGTTTTTCACCCGCTTAAAGGTAGAGTATAAAAGATCGTATATGTCAAAGGTCTTCCAGTGAAGCAATAATTGATATTTAGATATGGACTTTAATTCGAAAGTATGCGGCCTATAAAATGTGGCTTTACAAGTTTGAAAGGCAGCTTATTTTTTTAAAGCTGTACCGAGTATTGTTAATCCTGTAAACAAGCTTTAAAAATATTATTCTCTCGCTTACAAAGTTCAACAGACCTTTTTCGTTCCGGCAAAACAACAAAAAAGAATAATAAGTGAACAACATGATACATCCTTCCTGCATTCTATGTATTATAGTTATTGAAACGTATTTTTTTTATTAGAGATGCGTAACTTAAGTAGAAACAGTAGCGTTAGGGAATAAAATTGGAAGAAGCTGGTTGACACAATAATTAGATACTGTTTTACTGAGTGGAGTAAACGGATATGAGCAGAAATATATTTCGGCAGTTTGATAATTTTCTTGGAAGTTAATAAATGTTAGGCTATCAAACTTGACGTTGCATAAAACATAATTTACTTGCAGATGTTGTAATGAAGCCGAGATGATTTCTTAAAATCGTTTGAGAAAATTTTGTGGTAAACAATTTGCGTTTTTTTTACCTACGAATTGTAAAAGGGCCAAAGACCAACATCTTCACGTGCAAATTGTGTGCATGAGTTATTTTTATAATTCTGTTTACTAGATTACTGTGTGATAACTCGAATTCCCTCAAGCTCCCTCATGTAGGAACGACGAAAGGGGGCAAAGTCCAACACTTTCACGTGCCAGTTGTGTGACTGTCCATCTCATGCAGATTGGCTTTTCACAATAATAATAGTAACTTGAACGTAAGAAGACCTGTTTCGTTTGGTAACCAATGCCTTGAAAAAGGCTCTTGTCTTCAGTCTTTTAAGACGCAATAGCTTTTAAAACATGAAGAGATAAGTTGTCGGAGTTAAAGACTGTTTCACTGAGTAGAATTGCACGTGAAAACCTCGTGAATTGTGATGATGTAACCATCTACCACAATGATAAAAATCCTGGTATTTCGAAAGTACTCGAATTCGATGAGTCACATTTTGGCTTAAGAAACTCCGAGGAAACCTTAGAGTTTTCCTTCTAATCAACGTTTGGTGAGTAGATATTTATTTGAAAGTCCAGAATATTAGAAATGAAAGAAGATAATTAAATAACAAGCTTCACCAAAAATTAGGTCTGTGCGACGTCGTGTGCAAGATACTCGGAAAATGTTTTATCCCGATTTATTTAGCTTTGTATGGAGACGCCATGTTGATGTCTCTTTGAGGGGCACAAATATGGCGGCCGGAAACCGACAGAAACTTCTGCCTTTGAGTTTTCCTACAAAGCGTGAATTCATCGCTTTAGGAACTTATGACGGTTAAAGCAGTATTTATTCACATCACGCAAAAGCTTGGAAATTCAAGCGTCCTCTGTCGCAAAACAGAGAACCCTTGCGAACCAACAATTTTTTATAAATAAAGGTGTTTCGCTGCCGTAATACCTCATGAAAGTAGAAAACCGAGATTATCCCAAGACTGATAGGCTATGAAAGTGCAGTTTCGTCTCATAGAAGTTGGATTTTATTTGAACTATTGTGTAAGAAAAAGAGGGGAATTGCTTTGGCCGATTGCGAGGAACAAGAATTTGATCAACCTATGTCCAGCTGCTCTTGCAACCACGTTTTTATGCCGTTTGCTTTAATGACTTCACAATTCACGGTAATTTAGAAACCGTTTGATAAATTTTTTAAAAAACTTACAACAAATTACACCTTCATTTATTTCAAACTCGATATTTCAAAAATAAATTACGACAATTAACCCGCAAGTAGCATGGGCTACTCGAGGCGGGTTGTGTAAAAAATTAAGTAGTAAAATAAACTTAATAATCTCGAGATTAAACATCAGTTAATATCGCCTCCGAGTTTCGAGGACATTGAAAACAAGAAAGGCAATTAAATGGCGCTTCAAGTGTCATAAATTTTCTGCCAGATTTTGTGTTTACAAGAAAGCGATGTCATTCCTATTTATATTCACGACTAAGACACGGCAATGGGTGTGCAGCTCGAACTATGGAGCCTGAGTGTTAAATGCCGTCCAAATAACATACAAAGTTCAACATCATAACTAAAGAATGGTATACAAATATTCCTAAATAAAGTCACTCAGGCTAAACTATTCACGGGCGCCACCTGATACGAAAACCCAAAAAACCCAATGGGAAAAAATTGGGAACGTGTTCCCCAACCGATACGGTCGCACAACCTCTAGGGGTTAAAGGTAAAAAATCAATCGATAAATGAATAAAGTACGATATAAAAATAAAAGTTGATAGTTCGAGAGCTGAGATGAATACATTACAACTGTCAAAACCTTATAAACCTAATAACAATAGCGTCAATTAACGCCATAGCGGCTCACGTGCGTTCATACCAATAGGAAAGTATTTACATTCTCTGTCACTGCCACTACGTTTAGCTCCGCCGAATGTAAATACATTTATTCACTGGCATTGTTTTCAGTTTCATATGTGTGAACAACTTAAGCAAAAAATAATCTACATTCAAATAACATTAAAGCTATGTTCACAATATATCGGATAGCTTATGTGACAGACAGGAGAACAGACAGGGACCTAGACAAGAACAAATGCTACGACTGCCAGGCCAATTACATTAGGGACCTTACGAAACTACGACGGCGAGGGCAACGGCAAAGTAAAAAAACAATAGGTTTAGTTAGCAAAACAACACCTCTGCACGTGCATCACCCTTTTTTGTACATTTCTTTGCCGTCCCTGCACGACTACGACGTGAAATGACCAAATTTTAAGTTTTTTTTTGAGGACTGGAACGGCAAGGCGATAAACTCTACCATCTCTATCTGAACTCAAACGCGCCTCCCTCTCTTCAGCTCCAACATAAATTCCCTTCTTTTAAGTAACTGGGCGACTTGGAATAATCGCGAAATGGTTTCATGGAAGTCGCCGTTGTCGGATCGTAAGGTCCCTATTGTAGCCTGAGCGAAACCTCGCCCATGGGAACGAGCTTGGCCTGAGCCCAAGTTAATTACATTGGTGAGAATGACAGCCCAGTAAGAGGAACTCTTCAACGCGACTGACTGAACAAGAACGGGCAACAGGAAATCGTGATGTTAAAAACATCACGTCTCTAAATGCTGTACACCATTTAGAGACGAAACATCAAAATTGACTGGGATTCTCACTCTGAGACATACATTACGTATGTCAATTATTCTCTTTAGAAAGCTGGTTTACCAACTTGACACGAGGTTCTCTCTAGTTTACAACAAAGGTCGCTAAAAAGTACTCAGCAGTTAGAGGCACCTTACAAAACACTTACTGGCGGACTCAGGCAAAACTGACAGCAATAATATAACTGGACAACCGACAATTAATTGACTAACATGCATAGCACAACTGTTAAAATTGTGAGTCTTTTTAGCCAATAACATCACTGGCAGCTTAATCAAAAAACCTAAAAATGGTATTTTACCAACTTTTTCACCTGATTTTACGTGAAATAGACAGATTTGGTTGTTTTCTGCTGAAAAGTGGAATTTTTTCAATAAGCTTGGTACTTTGCTTAACCCATTCGCTCCTGGAGATTTTGCCGAAAAACGCGTTTTGAAGCTAGTCGAGTGGTTTTCTGGTCACTGTCGTGCTATTAAGAGCTAACACTTACCACAAACCGGTTTGCAGGTCGTACACTTCGCGGCCTTCTGATCCAGATGCAAAATATCAGCTTGCAAAGTTCGGGCATGCGCAGAAAGCAAAATTTCGAGTCTTGACTTTTACTTTTCGCTTTCTCTCCTCCCTTCTTTTTACGCTTTTCTTGCCTCATTTTTTTTTCTCTTGCTGGGCATTTAGTAGGCTTCATTTTGGTGGGAATAGTTTTTAGGAAAGCTTTTAGGATCTTAGGATTAGGTGAAAGGAAAGGTAGGTGAGTAATGGAACAAGATTTTCATGGAGATTTTCGGGTCAGTGTCACGTGGTTTTTTGCTTCTTTCTCCGGTGTCCTTGACTGAATTGTGCTCATTCTGGTATGGTTTGAAAGATCTCTTCACTCTGCACAAGTTAGCGAAGAAAGTTGTCCTTGACCGTTAAAACTGATGACGTCACAAAGGGTAGAAAGGACCTGGATCCGCACGGGCGGTTACGGGCGGTTCAGGGGCGAATGGGTTAATTGACGCACGGCCAATAACAGGTAAATTGACCAAACAGGTCAATAACGAGAGTTAAATACTTAACTCAGTGATGTGATACAACTCACTTTGACTCTAAGAACGACTACACTACAGGTTGATGAAACGTTTGTCTAGGTCATCAACAGTCCTATACAGGACTACGCTCACCCAGACGAGCATATTCCACATACTTACGAAACAAAAAAGCGTTAATTGACAATAGACAGGTACCAACTACAACAAAACAAAAAATTATAAACATCTCTAAACTCTGAACAAAACAATTTCATTCCATTCATATACATTACGAGTCTTCTTCAGCTACATGCCTCATATGATTTTCATAGTGTTGAACAAGAAGAGCCTGACTACTGATCTCCTCTTGACAAATCCAACAGCTTTGTTTTTCAATGATGGCTGACTGCACCCCTTCCTTACACTTGTCCCTAGTCTTTCTTTGTGATATTGACTTGTTTGTGATCCTTGACCTGTTTGATCTGGTGTTACTTCCTGTTTGCTCACACAAACGTTTGCTACTGTCACGTTTATGCGACATATTTGTACTGTGGATTTTTTGATGGACTCTCAGGTCTCTTGAGAGATTAAAACACTTGCCAGGCTGTTTACAATCATAAGTCTTTCTGGCATGTCTCCTCAGGTCGTCTGATCGGCTAAAACACTTACCACACTGCTTACATTCATAAGGCTTTTCCCCGTTGTGAACCCTTTCATGTCTCCTAAGGTGTCTTGCTCGGCTAAAAAAAGTTCCACACTTTTGACATTCAAATGGCTTTTCTCCAGTGTGAACGTTGCTATGGCTCCGCAAGCCTGCACCTTGACGAAAACACTTACCACACTCTTTACATTCATAAGGTTTATCTTCGCTGTGAACTCTTTCATGACTCCTTAGGCTGTTTGCTAGGTTGAAACACTTACCACACTGTTTACATTCAAAAGGCTTTTCCCCAGTGTGAACTCTTTCATGAGTCTTTAGGTATCCTGCTCGGCTAAAGCACTTACCACAGTGTTTACATTCATAAGGCTTTTCCCCAGTGTGAACTCTTTCATGACTCCTTAGGCTTCCTGCTCGGCTAAAACACTTACCACACTGTTTGCATTCATAAGGCTTTTCCCCAGTGTGAACTCTTTCATGAATCCTTAGGCTTCCTGCTCGGCTAAAACACTTACCACACTGTTTGCATTCATAAGGCTTTTCCCTAGTGTGAACTCTTTCATGAATCCTTAGGCTTCCTGCTCGGCTAAAACACTTACCACACTGTTTGCATTCATAAGGCTTTTCCACAGTGTGAACTCTTTCATGATTCCTTAGGCTTCCTGCTCGGCTAAAACACTTACCACACTGTTTACATTCATAAGGCTTTTCCCCAGTGTGAACTATTTCATGATTCCTTAGGCTTCCTGCATGGCTAAAACACTTGCCACACTGTTTGCATTCATAAGGCTTCTCCCCTGTGTGAACTCTTTCATGTTTCCTTAGGTTTCCTGCATGGCTAAAACACTTGCCACACTGTTTACATTCATAAGGCTTTTCTCCAGTGTGACCTCTTTCATAATGTATTAAGCTACTTGCATGGTTAAAACATTTGCCACATTGTTGACATTCAAAAGGTTTTTCGCCAGTGTGAACTCTTTCATGTCTCGTCAGGTCGTCTGATCGGCTAAAACATCTGCCACACTGTTTACATTTATACGGCTTTTTCCCAGTGTGAACTTTTACATGACTCCATAATCCCCCTGGTTGGCTAAAACACTTTCCACACTGTTTACATTCATAAGGCCTTTCCTCTGTGTGAACTGTTTCATGATTCCTTAAGTTTCCTGCTACACTAAAACACATGCCACACTTCTTGCACTGTAGAGACATGCAGAACAGCTTCCTGTTGATACCTTTCCAACAAAACATACCTGATAAATAACTCAATAAATGATAACTTACTCATCAAAACGTTATCAGTAATTCTGTCAGTAAATAAAAATTACAGCGTCAATGCCAAGAAAGACAAAAAACAAAATAAACTATGTCATCTAAATTTTTCTGATTGTGTTAAAGAAATTCTTTATGAGTGCAATGAAGTCATCTGTATAATAGAAGTGGTCTCTAAATGGAGACTTTACTTACAATTCTAGTCTACAATTATTTTTGAACGTTGATTACTGGCCACTTAATAAGTAGCCTCGCGTGCGAGCAAGCTCTCGCAGGGCACTTTGGCAGCCATGCGAAAAAGTAAGGAGAGCTAGCAGACACGTTTCAGGAATTTGAAGTTCGCCCACAGTACGTACCCCTGTGGCTTCCCATCAACACAGCTGCCAGTCTTGGCCAATCGGCACACAGCGGAAGTGAGCGTCAAATGTAAATAAACATAGAAACAGTGCCCGAGCGAAAAAAGCCCTAAAAGTATGGCCACACCAAAAAATTGAAACACAAGAAATTTGTTGAGTTCGCGTTTTCATAGACAGGTTGTTGAGGGCACCAGGTGAACAGGAGAATGGTTAAGTGGTCGCGAAACACTGCTAATGCATGCTTATGCCCTTGGGATTGAGGAAACCAGATATTTTACTAGCTTTGTGTCATCTCTTGAACACAGAGTATCGTTCCTCAGGAAGTTTTTGAACTGAAGGTGTCCAGGACAACTAAATAAATTGTTTCTCTCTCCTGCTATTAAAACGGATTACAAAAATGAATTTGGAACTGAATTTGTCTGTTGTATAAGATGTTAAAATCATACATGTCTTGCCCCCGCCACAATATAAACTCTACTGTGAGTCGCTTTTTGTCCATTGCAAAGACAATAAAGGAACTAGCAAATAACCCGCCTATAGAGTAATTTCAAAAGCGTTAAACCACTCTTTAGAGCAATATGTGAAATGTTTTTCAAAGATTTCACGCCAATGAAGGTGTCTGGCCAGCTAGCCTGCAAGCAAGCTCTCCCGAGGGAACACAACGTCATCGCCTGATTAAAAATCAGCCAATCAGCATTTCGTATCCCATTCTGGGACGCAGATATTCAAACATATTAGTGCAAGCTCTCCTTCAAGTCTTCCCTTCTCCGCCCCGCGTACCCCGGGGAGCCTCAGGAGAGCTTGCTCACAGACTCTAAGTTGCCATGTAATGGATGATAAACTGTATTTGAAGCCTCTCTGATGCCTGACTGGGGGAAAAAGAAAACGTATTGAATATAATAAGAATGAGTCAACCTACGGCACTGTAACAATACAGTAACTGATCTGTAGAGTTGTAAAAATAATTTTATACATAGGTCACATCCTTTCTGCTTTGGACACCTTGCACGACATAAAAAACTAAGAAAACGATATATAGAGCAAACTCATTTAGTTTATCAAGTTTCTAGCTTGATCAAGAGTTTGCACGTTACATCTTGCCAAATTCTGACATAGAAGTTAACCTTGAAACAAATAATACGCGAGTATTCAACGGTAAACGACCTTGGTGATGCAGGTATCATTGGTCACAGCCTGGGCAACGGAAAGGAACTTTACAAATGACCCTGTGAAAGTGCTTAATTTCCCCCTCCAAGAGGAGGGCATAGAACAATGAAAGTTAAGAAATCCCCCATCCTTAAACCACAGTAAAGTTGAGATGCCATTATAACGACCCAGCTCACCTCATTAGAAAATAGCACTTTACCATTAAGGAAACATGCAACTGTTCATAGGCATTACAATTTAAAGGGTGAATTTCCTCAGAATTGCTGTAAAATCTTACTGCTTATGAACAGCTCCACTTTCATGCTGTCTTAAGACTTTTACAGAAGGTAAATCAAAATGTATACAACATGCTTTTCCACTGGACCTGAGGAGTGAGCATGATATAAATAAGTTTGTGTTTAGCCTAAAAAGGTACTATAGATCCAAGCCTAATAGAGCCTCCCTTACTTTTAGTCAAACCTCTTTAATACGGACACCAAAGGGACAGAACCAAGCATCCATTTTACGGAGGTGTCCTTATTATAGAGGTAGAGAATGTATGATTTTTCGCATTTGTGGGACCAAACAAACTGTCCGTAATAGAGAGGTGTCTGTATTATAGAAGTGTTCGTAAGGAGAGGTTAGACTGTACTTTAATTAGTTGTATCATCAAGTTTTCTATTCTTTATTTGTCTTGTGTGTTGTTTTTTTTCTCTTTCTTTTTTTACATCAGGGTCCCATTCAAACCAGCCTTGCTGAACTGGGCACCTCTAACTAAATGTTGTTTAAAATAAAATAAAATATGATATAATGACAACAATTTTACTGAGATTAAATGAGAATACACAGTCTGTCGATACCACCACGTTTTTCCACCGCAAGGAGATAGCTAAGCCCACGATCTTCTGGACAAGTGGCCTATATACCTAATCAACCGCCATATCTTTAAACAAAGCCCCCCCCCCGGTTTTCCCTGTGGTGCAAGGTTGTTGTAAACCAAACCTCCTTCATGTTGTAAGCAATTTGTATTTGCGCAGGGTCTTCCCAAGGGCATGGCCAATGATTGGCGGGTGCACATCAAACCCTTCGCATTTCCCCGACCTCCAGGGTAAAATAATCTTTGAAATCCCGTAAAGGTCCCCATACAAACTTGTATATACTCAGGGCCTTTTCAAGAGATAGCCAGTGATAAGTCCATATAAATGGATGAGCTGCATAGTATACTATGAAAAACGGTCATGTCCAGGGCTGTCATTAAGAATCGAGGGCTGGGGATTCCCCCCAGCTACTATGAACGTGGCTCCTGGCTACTTTCATAAGAAAAAAGGAGAAAAATAGAACCAAAGAAAACCCCTAGCTGTTTAATTCCCCGCCTACTTGTTTTACTTACCCACCAAATTAAACTCTTGGTGACATCCCTGGGTATATTCTCCAGAAGCACATTAGTTTTATGAAATAAAATAATACAATGAAACACTTCTCTCTTAAAATTAAATGCCTACTATTGTATCTGAGCCCAACTAGGGGGCCTAAATTTAATACAGAGAGATGTCCTAGGCATAATATAATAGATCGTTTGTTTTACAGCAGCTAAACTATTGCCCAAAATTATAGCACGTCACATACCAAAAGTAAGACTTCATGGGTAATACATACTATTTGAACAATCTGCCCTGGTTGGTTACTTCTAATATGGCTTATAGAGGAGAACCCCTGAAACCTATCCTGTAGAAGCCCTTCCTACTCTTGAATGCAGATTAGGATTGTTTTAGAATTTTTTTTCCTGAGCATAATACAGTGGTGTTGCAAAAACCTTCACAAAACTCAAACTGTGAAAGGCTGATTAATTATTAAGCTGGGCCTCTAGAACTGACAAATTTATCTTAAGATAAGTCAAAACACACAATGAAAAATCCAGTGGGAAACACGTGTCAATTCACTGGGCAAAAGTAAGCTTCTTCTTATGGATCAATAAATCCTACACCTTTTTCAGCTTTTTTCTAAGATGTTCATATCATAAAATTAATTCCAATTTGAGTAAATACAGGCTCGAAGCCAGGTTTTTTTTGCAGGGGGGTGCAATCCATTGAGGAGACGGAACAAATGAGGCCGGACATGCAAGTCTCTAATGGAAACTAGGTTGTCAGAGACTACATTTTGAGCACTTTGAACATTGTATGATAAGAAAACAGGCAGCCAAAAATGAACGTCATATTTGATATTTCTGGTAAAGAGACTCCTGTAAGTATGTATTTTTTTGAGAATGACAATAGCAAAGTCACTATTTAAAAAGAAAAAAAAAGATCTGGTTATTCACAAAGTTTGCTGCTGATCATCATGAGCTTTCATTTGTGTGCCAAGTTGCATATGCTACTTGGCAAACAGAATACAGTCGAGGCAGGTCAAGCGTACCCTCTAAGATTCTATTAATGAACTGATTATTTAAAAAATGAATCCGTTAGTCGTTCCGTTAACTGGTGTTAAATTCAAATCAGCATTCCTGCATGCGTACTGAGCAGTGAATATTTTACGAGAACTTCTCTGTATTTGGTCAGATTGAAAACCTTTAAATGAGTTAAATTTCGTAGAAGACATTCACGTCAAATTCAGGGAAACTTAGCTGGTAGAAATTTCGTAAGTGAATCGCGTGTGAATTCACGGCTCATTACGCATGCAAGAATGCAGACATGAATCTGAAATCTACAACTATCAATGGATTCAACTTTCGAATAATAAATTCATTAACGTAATCTTGGGGGCACGCTTGACTTGGGTTAACTGTAATGACTTTTTCCACATTAATGTCTGTTAGATAATTCACACAAGGCAGTATAGCACACTGATGAACCACTCTCATCAGGGTGTCTGTGTCCCAATGCCCAGTAATCTCTAATTTTAAATTTACTCTGTTCTGATAAATGTCTGCAGCTGGAAAATCTCTAAGGGAACTTTCAGTGTCTTTATGAGTTCCATAGCTTGGGATCTCAAACCTACACAGCATTTTTGATTCACCTTGTTTTGAATCGTTGGTCATTCAAGTGGTGGAAAAAGATTCAATTGTTAGAGCCGTTTGTTGTAGCTTAGCTGGTTAGGAAAACCTCGACACTTGTTGTTAGACCCCCCCTCCACTATTTAAAAACATTATATGCTGTTTATATTTTTCTGAAAAATTGCTTTTTTCAAAACTACCAGTGTCTTGGGCACTTTATCTTCAGAATAGTCAGTGATGAAAGGATTAAGTTAGGTGAACTATAATATTTAGTAACACAAGCAAGAGTACCGTATAATATACTAGTTATAGCTATCGCTAAGTGCCAATGAGCAAAGATTTTACCTATATGCACGTGCTGTTCAATTTGTTTACAAATGTCATGAATTACAGTAATTTACGACAAATGCATAAGCGAAAATTACCTTGAAAACAGTGCAAGCAAGGGCACACATACACCAACCCACGCATGTGCACAGCCATATCATGCAGGAAGTAGCAGCCACAGACAGCTGTTTGGCGTTTATTGGGGTCCATCAGCATGAACGGGAAAAACCCATGTCTCAAAGACCCTCCTCTACTGCCGAGGCAAGTGCAAAGTACTCCTTTAAGTGTCAGCTCCACACAACTCATGTGAGAGCTGTTGGCTGGGAATCACATGGCAGTTCTACCACGACATGTGCAGGGAAGGCGGATCATGGGTTGGTGTCTTTTGAAAATAGTGAATTAAACTATTCCACTGCCTAAAGAATTTGAAGTCTTGACTTTGCATAGCAAATTTTTCAAGATATTGAAGTTTGTGTTTTTGTCTGAAGTTATGCACATAAACCAATTTAGAATCCTTGAAAAATCGTATTTAAGTCCACAAATATTCAACATACAGATTTATATTTGGTCTCTTTTTAAAGCTAAATAAGATTTATGGTGCGCCAATGAAGCCCTCCGAATTATTTTGCTTCAAGGATGCAATCAATCTTATGGCTTTTCTTTTTTCTTAGTGGTAGGCAATAAAAAATTCCAGCGCGCAAATGCGACAGCTATTGTGTATGATACAAATGAATATCCACCTGATGACTCGTTAAAGACAGGATGAGCACGGGACTCACAAACGAGCACACGGCTCGTAGATTCTCTGATCTGTATCACATGTTCGCTAAAAAACAATGCATTCTCTGTTCTGCATTACGTCATAAATGTTGCCTTACATTACTATGTTACATCGATTCGTGATTTTTTTCTGTCCCTGGAACAATCACGCATGGCTCTATTAGGCTGCTGCCTCGCAGCCTTGCATCTCCGAGAGGCTGCTCATTGGCAATTAAGCTACACTTAATTTGGATTGAACTGAACAACTACAGTCAATAAAGCCTACAAACATGTACATGTTACAGGTCAAATTTGATTTCAGGTTAATTTTAATTTAACCTACAATCCTGGACAAAAGTCTTGGAACACTTTGGCATTTCTGGGGCGTTTTCCAGTTCACTCAGTTCCGACCCCTCGCCTCACCCCACAAACAATAATGGACACATGTATCCAGAATTTTTCTTAGTTTCAACTTTGTATAGGGTGGGAGGAGGGAGAACTACAAGAAAATTTCGAAAAGAATGCACTGTTTTATGAGGGAACCGAGAAATGACAGAAAAATATGAATATTGCATTACTGTCCCAAGGACTTTTGTCCATGATTGCAGGTTGTTTCTCAACTTCCTTTGTTTCTTTAAGAATCAACCTAGGTTAAAAAAAATTTAACCTGAAATCAAATTTGACTGGTAACATATATAAATATAGTTTGTTATACAAAATAATGACATAATCATGCGGTAATGTATGACGAGTGTGCAAAAAAATATGTTCAATTTTCAGTGGCCTGTAAACCACAAGTAATGGCTGGGGGGCAAGAGCTAATTCAGCTGAATTTTGCTACCCTATACTAGACTAAACTCCTCAAATCCCTCCTACCTTTGAGTAGCTCTTAGGCTGAGTTGCGTTAATTTAATTTAAACTTACTGATTTCATTTTTGGATATTTTTGAGTGCCAGTTCCCAGTCTCCCTAGTGTAGACTAAACTCTTCGACCAGTTGTTCAGTTTCCTTGAAATGATACCCTATTCTAGACCCAAACACCCTGATTTATATACCCTATCCCAGAGTAAACTAATTGAAAACCATACCTTCCACAGCGGCACATACCTATATATCCCATATATGGTGGTACCCCCCTCCCGCCGTGTTTCATATCAAAACTTGAAATTCCAAATTATTAAGGTGGCTCGACTGGATTTTTTGGGGTTGATACCTCCCAACTTTGAGCATTAACTACGTCGGCATGAGTAAAGATATGGAAAAAAGGTTACCACAACTGTATTATATACAGATGAAAATTTCTTATGATCTGGGTTTTATTGCAATCGGAGTCGCCATGGCAACATAATGACGCCATTACATTTTTAATTTATCTTCGTGTTTCTCTGTTCCAGGAGTTTTTTGAAGAAATCGCTTAAGGGAGTATGTACCTGCTATAATTGTCTTCATTATGGCATAGTTTGAACAAATTCTATGAGAGCGTTTTTGAAATATTTTGAAATGTAGTTTTAAGAATAATAAAAACAGTGAAATAGCATGCTAGCCACACAATTCGCTAATATTTTAAGAAAATGATAAGCTTTGGGAACGAGGCTAGATCTCATAGTGATTTGATTCCATTGAAAACTGCATACAAAAAAAGAAGGGAATTGCTCTGGGCGATCGCGAGTAAGAAGAATTTTATTAACTTGCATTCAGCTGCTTTTGATACAGTTTTTGGACGTAATTTGGTCCATGGCTAAAAATTATATGACACTTGAAAACAATGCCAGTGAATAATGAGGACGCTCACTTGTAAACACAAAATCTGGGGGGAAAATTGGTTATATTTGAGGCCCTATTTAAAAGCCTTCCCTGTTTTCAATGTTCTTAAAACTTGCAAAGATTATTTCTTGACGATTGGTCTCGGGATTGTGGAATTTATAGAAAAATTTATCGAGCGGTTTTTGGAAAAATGCGAAATTTTTAGCCATGGACCAAATTACGTCCAAAAACTGTATCAAAAGCAGCTAAATGTAAGTTAATAAAATTCTTCTTACTCGCGATCGCCCAGAGCAATTCCCCTCTTTTTTTGTATGCAGTTTTCAATGGAATCAAACCACTATGAGATGAAGCCTCGTTCCCAAAGCTTACCATTTTCTTAAAATATTAGCGGATTGTGTAGGTAGCATGCTATTTCACTGTTTTTATTACTCTTACAACTACATTTCAAAATATTTCAAAAACGCTCTCATAGAATTTGTTCAAACTTTGCCATAATGGAGGCAATTATAGCAGGTACATACTCCCTTAAGCGATTTCTTCAAAAAACTCCTGGAACAGAGAAACACAAAGATAAATGAAAAACGTAATGGCATCATTACGTTGCCATGGAGACTCCGATTGCAATAAAACCCAGATCATAAGAAATTTTCATCTGTATATAATACAGTTGTGGTAACCTTTTTTCCATATCTTTACTCATATCAACCCCAAAAAATCCAGTCGAGCCACCTTAAAAGGCCAAAAAATCAGCAATGCGCTACATTTTTAAAATCCCTAGAAATGTAAATTGTAAACTTTCTCGATACTTACATCGATGGTGTTCTCTGGTGATTTGTAGCTACTGTACTAGTTACGAACGGTAACCTGCAGTCCGTGACTGCAACAAATCGCCAGGGAAGATTGCTTTCCCATATTCCCGGCATAGTCAATCGAACGTTCTGTAATCAAACTCAATCGAACTCCAATCATTCGATTGTTTGATTGGTTTTGGTAATCGAACTTAATCACCCCAAAATTTTGCCAATCAAACTCAATCAAACATTCGGAAATTGAACACTTAAACAATCGAACATAATCAAACATTCGAAAACTGAAAACTGCATGCAATAATCGAACATAAAACCAGCTTCATCTGGTTTCTAAAAAAGGTGTTGCATCCAAATAAGTTATGTATTGCCTTAAATTTCAAACAGAAGTACGCAAAGATGTCACAGGGGGCAGAAAACATGAACAATTCTGGAAACAGTGGTTAAAGGCTACCACGAGTGCCCACTTTCGCTGTCAGTGTTGGTGAAAAGTTTATTATCAAGAAAAGGGAAGATCCAGCTCTGAAGGTAACTGACGATGGCCAGGGCCAACTTGGACATTTACAACGTGAACTGGTGCCTGTGCTTGCATGTTTCCCAGTATTATTGTGAATTTATCGATTTTGAGACATTACTTAAATAATTAAGATCTTTCTGATTCAATTGAAACTGTATAGGTTTTGTCTTTCTGTCCAACAAAATCTTCCTTGCTAGCAGAGGTCTCTCACGTCGTGAAAGACCTGTGCTAGCAGGGAAAACAAAATCGAACTAAGCGCGTCGATTGAGTTTGATTGGTTCGATTGAGTTCGGTTATCAACCTCTCGGATCAATCGAACTCACCGAAAAGTTCTAGTTCGATTATTTTTGGTTCGGTTTCGTTCGATTGACTATGCCGGCTATATTGCGTTGATTAATCCTACACTTGAATCATTGCAGAATGTATATGCATGTTTAACGTATCGAAGAGCTTTCCTCACCTTTAAATGAACATTTGTTGCCGCGTTTTCTGTCTTCATATCTCCGATCAGTTTGCTGAACTATTCCTGATGGCTTCCTGATGTGTTTCTGTACATGAGGTGTAGAACTCAGTCTGCCTCGGACAATGCAAGAATAACATAGGCACGTACCGGGTATAACATGCATGAACTTTTCGGAAACTTTGCATTATCCTTATTAGAACGAACACGTATTGAGAACAGTGGTCAGTCAGATGTCCAGTGGATGTCTTCACAGCTTTAAAAATTGTTGTCCTTCAGTGTACAGTAGCCTGCATAGCAGATGTCGAAAGGGGAAGGGGAACTGGCAGGAAGGGAAAAAAAGGGAAACTACTTTTAGCCTGTGTGGCGGGCTGTTGAATTCGAAAGGGAAGGGAAAAGGGTTTTGTATGAGCGTTTTAACACCCTGTCTCCCTTTCATTTCGCAAATTACAGATTTTGGTCAAATAAACATTGGTACAGACGGAATTCGGCGGTTTCAAAATGGCTCGTCCGATTTTAAAGTCATGCGTATGATTTGTATAGGTAATAGCATGATTTGTAGTGATATTTGGCATAAATACCACGAGTGATATTTCGAAATCGTTATACGTAATTTCATGAGCCCTTAGGCGAGTGAAATTTGAGACAATTTTGAAATATCACCAGTGGTATTTATGCCAAATATATCACTCGTGATATTTGAAAATTGTCTCAAATTTCACCCGCCTAACTGCTCGTGAAATTACGTATAACAATTTTGAAATATCACTCGTGGTATTTATGCCAAATATCACTACAAATCATGCTATTACCTACACAAATTGCCCTCCACTTAGTTCCATTACCACTATAAATTGCATGTAAAATTTTTGGGAAAATTTTGAAGCCCTTTTAATTTCGAGTAGATTCAAGCTGCCCTAGGATGACCGAACAGAGACGAATTAGAGTGCATTTCTATAGATCTAAAAGTACTCTTTATAGCCTAAAAAGCGATTTCAATGCTTTTAGGAGGAAACCGCCGTCAGGTGCCCCTGTTGCTTAGTCATGACTACATTGAAATTTAAAACTTAAATAGTTTTCCAGGATGTTTTTAAAAAGCTAAATCTGAGAAGAATGTGGAAATATGCCCTTTAGCTGGTTAACATCAATTAAAAAAACATAATCGAGATAAAAGGTTGTAAAAATGATCGCCTTTAGAAAAATTAAATAATCTTTCATCTTTTATAAAATTTTCTCAACTATAAATCTTTACAAAAATGTGTAGATATTAGTTGAGATTATTTTTCTAGCGGAGCTCTCGCGCGCGAAGCGCGCACGGGAGCACCATGGCTAAAAAATGTGGTAAAGTACCCATCCGAGAAAATTTGGTAATCACGTGACCGTACACCGACCGCCCGACCGTCCGTCCGCACCACAGGCATACCAATGTAAAATAATTCAATCAACAGGTATGGCAACCCAAATGCAACGGAAAGAAATCGCGTAGCCGCCTGGACTTTTAGAGAGAAAAAGCAACAACAAAGACCTGTCTTTTTCGACGTTATTTTTGATGTTTACACTCACGTGGATAACAGAGAAAGAGCTAGAGCGAGTGATTGAAAACAAAAGAGACGAATTTTGTAGGAAGAAAAACATGAAAATTCAAAGCGGCTGTGAGACAATGAGAAATGTTAGCGGCCAGCAAAGTGAAAATAAGCGGCAGAAAAAAATGAAAGCGAACATGAACACAGGAGACAAAATATTGGGTAAGCACATACGACAACTCCTCCATAAAAATAATGTGTAACTAGGAAGTTTGACGTTTTAGTCCTACAAAACAGCGTTGTAGTTATGCAAAACAACGGCAAAGAAAGACAAAAAGCGTGCTGCACGTGCAAATTTGTTTTTTTGCTAATTAAAAAAAAAATGGCTGCACGTGCAATTTGTTTTCACCGTAATTCTGGCTTTAATAATAATAATAATAATAATTGAAACATATTTATACAAGATTGCTGCATCAGTTTTAAGAAAAAAACTGCCATCAATGCAGGTCCTGTAAAAAATGACAAATCAAAATCAAAAAAAGATTTAAAAATATGGATAAAGATCAAATTACAATATTATAAAATAGTTACACTAAACGGAAGATTCGAACAGTTATAAATTCTACGAATTATTAAATATTTTTGCACTTTTGTAGAAAAAAGTGCGCTTGGCGCATTCTAAGTTGACTTTTTGTAAAATAAGGTTCTTATTATTTCTAGTTTTGTGGCGGTGAATGTCATGGTTTCTTACATTGAAATAATTAGAAAGGAATCTGGGAACTCTGTTTGCAATGCACTCATTAACAAATCTTAAACTGTGTGTCCGTCTTCTATAATAGAGAGGTTCCAAGCCCAGTTTGGTCATGATTTGATCAGTTGATAGTTTTGAGGCAGCTTTGGATTTATCGAGCATAAAGTGTCTTGGTGGAAACACAACTTTAACCTTCACAATCCTTAAAATTTCTGCTGAATAACAAATACCATTGCTTCATTTCTACAGTCTATTTAACAATTATTCCTCGAGCCCGAATGGGCTCTGAGTCAATAGCCCATGAGGGCGAAGGCCGAATGTGCTATTGACTCAGAGGCCATGGGGGCGAAAGGAATAATTGTTTTAGTAAAATCCAACTAGTTGGTCAAAAATATCGAGAATAAAAAAATTTTAGCTTGTTAAAGCGAGACTTTAATCCTTTTTTGCCGCCAAAAAGCCCGCGCTTTTCGCTACTAGTGGGTTATAACATATAGCCTAGTAGTAGCTGAACCAATCAGAATGCAGCATTGATAATAGACCACTAGTTGGATTTTACTAAAAGAGTGTAGACCATGGGAAATTGTGGTCGATTTGTTTTTTACAATAACATTTATATTCAGTTTCCTGCGTGACATGTTACATCATTTCCATGGTCTATACACTCATAGACCATAGCTCTTGACCAATCAGCTTGTGAGGATTTGCTCAGTTATTATAAAATATACAGTCAAACCCCGGTTAAAGGACACCCGCTTAATATAGACATCCCTTAATACAGACAATGGACACTTGTTTCGTGCCCAGTATCAAGTTAACCTCACTAATGTGGGCACTTCATTGTCAACTTCAAGTTGTGATAAACATTTCCTTCTTGAAAACAAAACCTTTCAGTTCACTATGTCGATGTTCCAAGCAATAAAGTACACCAGAGGATGATTTGTAGATGTCAATATGTAATTTGCTTATGGCATCAAACAAGTTAAGCAGAGAATGGTTGTCTTTACGCTAGGCTGTTAAGTAAGACTTAAGAGCTGCTAAGTTTTACTTAACTAAAAAATACCGTGTGAAGGCCTATCTGAAATTTCAAGTAACTTTACTTTGCATCTCATTAAAGTTGGAAAGTTGAAACGATTCAAGAAAGTTTCAAGTGACTTTAAAACCATCCTTAAAACCGACTTAAGGAACTTGCGGTTTCTAAGCTTCGAGAAAGCCGAAGCATGTCAATCATTCTTAATTATGCTCCGTGGGAAAATAGGCTTAAGCAAACCTGAAGTAAAAAATATAGGTTGTGTGTGAAGCTTTCTTTTACTTGAAGAATTTACAATTTAGTTGTCTTGAAATATTTCTTAGCTTATTTAAACTCTAGTGTAAAGACTACCAATGGTTTTGGTTAACTATATATGAATAAATGATAAAAGAGTGTTTCAGTGAAGTTAGTCCACAGAATGGCAGCTTTCGGATGGTTAGAGATGTTTCCTTTAAAGATGCTATATCCTCTTTTATTTCATGAGCATTTTATTTGAATAAAAGCTTTTTTACCTCAACAACATTAAACCAGCTTAGTATAGTAAGAACACCTCATTAACATGGATACTTCCTAAGGACCCTTCAGTGTCCATATAAACAGGATTTGACTGAAACAGGAGTGTCACTAACATTTTATGATGCCATTTATGTACACTAAGTTAAGAGTGAAATTTAGCTTTGCAATTCCTGCATAACCTGCGATCAGGCCGTCCTTCTTCCATTTTGTTTGGGAGACAAGAAGAAAAGGATACCTGATACATTTACTTTATGTGTCGTTTGCCTGTTTCTAGAATCTGGAATTTTAGCTGATTGGTCGAAAAGCAAACCAAGCTTTGGAGCCCTACACCGATATTAGTTACAAGCAACATATTGACTTCCAGTGCAATTAGATAGCTTTTGTCCCTTGTCTCTCGGGACAAAAACCATGAGATGATTGTGGAATATTTCATTTAGCAGTAAACTTAGGTTAAACTAAGTCTTAAAAGCAAAAAAAAATATTTTTTTCATTTTATTATACACTGGGCCTGGTTGCATTGATTACCAGTGTAAAATATACGGGTCAACTTAGAGAATACAAATTTAAAGTCACGCTTCACTTACCATTTTCTGAAGTGTGCACTTAAAGGGGCTAAGTCAAGCTATTTGCTGTTGTTTTAAAGTGCTACAATTGATAACGGTTTAAGATATTCAAGGCAATATTCAGGCAATGAAACTATTTCCTTTCATCTGTTGTAAAGAAGGATGGCAAGGTTGGGCACATGGATTGAAACTTGGAAACGTTGGGATAATTATTTTTTTAAATTTTAACTGCTATGCCTGCCGAAATTACCAATAAAAAAATAACAGTAGAACCCCGTTGTACGAACAGCAGCTTAACACGGAGACCTGAATATAATAGGAAGTTTCGTTTGTTCTAAAAAAGTGCATATTATTTTTTTTTCTAAAATTAACCCGCTTTACAGACACTGGATATTTGCACAATGTCTATGACGTAATGTGTTCACCTGAGACAACTAACAACTGGCTTCAGGCGAGTGAAGTACTTGACTCAAAAACCTTTTTATCAAAATTTCATAAACCTGCCAAATTTTCTTTTCTCATTCTATTAAAAACTTCAAAATTTGGGCTACATTGCCCACATTTTTCGGAATCAGTATGGCACAGAAACTTTATGGGTTTCATAAACAGACAATATGTGGGTTTTTCTTGCCACCTAGAGCTAAAATGACCAAGTTCAGCAATCAGCAAAGCACAGTAACATCGGTGTGCTTACAAAATACTAGGACTTGCTTGGAAAAATAATTTGATTGATTTACTAGATGTACTCATGTGACCAACTTGAAGGCCTGGGAAGCTCAGCTGGAATGTTTTGGAGACTCATGGGCTCCCTGAAATTTCTTTTTGGGTGACCATTTTTGAGGCGTGGGCGCATCAGTTGGAAAATTTTCATTAAATGCTGAAATTTTCCTCAAGGCGTGTTTACATGAGAAAATTGCACCGGTGCGAGTTTCATACCGGGATGACTTTTTGATTTTTTGATGGGTCACCTCATATCTCTGGTATTTGAAGGTACACTTTATGTTAATACATGTGCACTTCAAATCGCAAACATTATGTATACCCTACCCATTCCAGTCCACTTGCAGACCGATTAACACCAAAACAGGTGGTCATTTCACGTTTACATGATACCGTTATGAAATTTTTTACCTCACTCCGTTACAACAACGTGAATGAACTCACTCTGGGGTGACTCGCAGCGGCATGGCATTTTCTGGTGGTATCATGTATTTTAAAACAAATGAAGAGCCGTGGAAGGGAACCAGAGTGAACTCGGACCGACGCGAAAGTCGCCCTGGAGTCATGTAAACACCCCCTTAGAGCACCGCCTTGGGGTAAAAGTACTGAGTGATGACTTCAACACAGAATTCACTTGAAAGAGCTGCAATATCATGAGAAAGCCCATTTAAGCTTAAGTAATGTTCATGCATTGGTGGTTGTGGTTGGGGATGCATTTAAGTTTCCTTTTTCGTCATGTGAAAAGTAGCAAACAAAATTTTTCTGAGAACTGAGAGGCAAGTTTAGTCGTCATATATTGCTTGTAAATCACTTTGTTACCAAAAGTTACAGCTTTTTAACTAACATTAGAAATTTCCAAATCAGTAATATAACCGACAGGTCACATAGTCAATTTGTTAAAACATTCCAACACAAGTAATAATAATAATAATAATAATAATAATGAAAACTTATATAGCGCAACTTTCCATGGGACATGATCAAATGCGCTTTGAAGGACTTGATAAGTCTGACAAGGTCCATTCACTTGAATCTGCAACTTTTTTTACACGTGAATATTGATGGTTTTCACGGTGACGTCATCAGATTGCAAAGTCAAAAAAGCGAGGTTTTACGAATTCTTTTTTACACTAGGTTGAAGATTAATAGGAAATAAATCTTTGTACAAGTTTCCAGCCCCGAAGCATGTTTCATTTCGAAAATACAGCAGTTTGAACTTCCGAGTTTTCACGGTGCGTGACACCAAAATAGGAATGCTATCTCCTTGAAAAAAGTCTCTCCGCTTGATTTTCAGCAGTTTAACCATTTCAAGTATTAGAAGATATGTTTATGCGCAAGTATGCTAGTTCTCAAGTGAAAAGGAGGAGCTTTTATAGAAAAAGTGAACTCCAGATGTTTTTGTTGATTTCCGGCGGCCATATTGGTGGACAGTTTCTGTCCACCAATATGGCGTCTCCATACAAAGCTCTACAAAGATGCGTGAAATGTTTCGGCAACTAACTCAGAAACTGTGGGCCACAAAGACCTGAGATTTGGACAAATTGTTTATATATTAGTCTTTTATAACATTTCATTTTCTTGGCTTCTTCCACTTGACGGTTTCAAATGTATTTTTTTGTGCCGTGTTTATTGCGTGACAGTGAAAACGAAGAATACCGAGCATGGGTGCAGCATGGATACAGCAACCCTGAGTTATGTAACAATTCAACCTTAAGATCGGTGCCAAAACAATTGAATCAAATCTCGGACCGATAAATAAGAAATTCACTGCATTTATAACATCTCTTAAAATGCAGTGCACCCCCGAGTCTAATCTCCGTCTACCGAAATGTACAATTGCAATTTTACAACTAAGCTTTTAAAAAGCAGCACAAATCGCTCGAGAGGCAAGCTGTCATTCAGATGGACTAAAAGTTCGTCTTTTCTGCTGTGTCGATCAATCCTGTCATTTTTTTCTGTCATGTCATGACAGTACATGAAGTACCCACCGGTGTAGTTTTTGGACGATGTAGGCACGTATAAGGTGCAAGACCTTTGTAAAAAAAAAAAAATTCCCCCCCACCAAAAAAAAAAACGAAAGACGACAACACCGGTCGCTACATCACATTCTCAATATTAAGAAAAACTGTGCTCCGGAGTATTTTAACTAGGATCACAATTAGTCACTGAGTAAGAGAAGAAAGTGAACAAATGACTCGTCGTTGTAACTTGTCAAAATTTGCTTCCTCCCGACGTACTGCAGTCATTGTCATTATATATTAATATATAGATTTAGCCAGGGCTAAAAGTGAAGCTCCTATTAAGTCGAATTTATAATTTAAATCAAACAATAAACTTGTATTCCACAAATCAGTTAACTTTAGAGCACATTCATGTGACTTTTGAGGGAAAGGCTAAGTGATTTTAGAGAAAAATAATTTGCAAACAGTCCATCTAAGAGTGAACTTAATCTTACATCGAGTTGATAGCCTTATATGTACACCCAAAAAATAGCAATTATCTTCGATCACATTTAACAGCCATAATGGCTCTTGATCACAGTAGATTAGGCTTGGAAAACAAATCAGGCCGAATTTTTTGCGTTCGACAAGTTTACTTTACAAAATCTTGCCAACAAGTCTGCTGACGTGTAAACCAACCTTTTATATTTTTTATACATCACATCTGAGGTGAAACAGTACCATGAGGTGCTGTTTTTACCAAACAGACCTCGGACAGAATGCAGTATTTCACAATTTTGCAACACAAATTGCACTCATTCAATCAGGACGATCAAGCACGCGTAGGCTTTTATAGACTACGAGTAGTCCCCCATTTTTCCTCAGGGATAGTAGAGCGAGCGAAACGCGCGCGCTCGTGAAAATCACCCCACGCGAGAAAAGGCGACACGCCGCCTGTCGCCTTTTCTCGCGTGGGGTGATTTTCACGAGCGCGCGCGTTTCGCTCGCTCTACTATCCCTGAGGAAAAATGGGGGACTACTCGTAGTCTAGGGCTTTTAGCGAGACCGTTAAAAAAATTTCCAAAATCACCTACACGGCTAGCTCTTACTTTGGACAAGCGGCAAAGTCGACTGTTTAAATTAAGATTAATAGGGTTATACGCTTAAACATAATGAAGAATTTATTATGTTTATTTTTTATTTAATGGTTTTATAAGGATGCGTAATCTTCATAAGCGTTTGATACGCGCGGCATTTTGACTACTCCTGCAAGCGATGTTTGCGAGCGACTGAAAACAAACGGCAGAGCGATTAAAATTGCATAAGAGACTACTAACAATCAATAAAAGGAAAATAATATACAGAGACAACAATTTTCATTCACGAAGACAAGTATTAAAGTGCCTCTGAAAATCTTTGTTTATGTTTTAAGCCTGCTTCCTGGTGTTTGCTTTTTTCAAAGATGAACTCGAGGCAAGAAAATCGCTCAAAGTTTTCTTTTACAGCCAGAATTATTTAACAATTAATGAATGAGGCTGAGTATCTTATGAAGAATTATGGAGATCGAGGAGGGTGTTATCCGTCGAGACCGTAGGCTGAGTCGGATAACACCCTCCGAGATCTCCATAATTCTTCATATGATACAAAAGACGAATTCAATAATTGTTTTATTATTCATTCAAAATAACTAGAAGTAATCGGAGCTTAGGAGAGTGCGTTCGATATGTTTGCTAGGCGTAAAGGTAGCAGTTGAGGGGAAAGGGTGGATGGCTCTTGCGATAGATAACTATGATTATGGCATATTTTGAACGTAAGGGTTTCGTACAGCGAAACCTCGATTTAAACTGAGTATGAAAATGAAAAGGTTTTTAAGGCTAGTGATCAGCGTGATATCGTATGGTTCGTCTCAAGTGCTTGTTATTTGAGGAGACATTGGCCAGAGTGCTTCGGGCATGTAAAAAGAACATTGTGTTTCACTGGCGAAATAGATGTTCTACAGGACGCCGTTGTTCGAGGGCCGATAAGCGATTAACCCGGGTTTCTTTTTCTTTTGTTAAAAAACGTTTGTTTGGATAATTTTCTCAGTTATTTTTAAGAGCGTCCAATCATCAACTTGTTGGCAAAATGAAGCTTTCAGATCTGAGTTCAAATCTCGCTCTAACCCTCCTCGCCTAGGTTATCTTAACCCAGCTTTGAACAACCCAGCCTAGGTACTGTTAAAAAGCAAACAGTTGACAAAGTTTTAGATGTAATCATTAAATTTATTTAATATTGGGAGTTCCACATGTAGACAATTACTGAAATTTACTGTATTATACTACTACATGAGAAATTACTGCAATCTGATTGGCTTAGAGCAGTGGTATTTCAGCTTAATTTGAAATACCTACATGTGAAAATTACAAACCTTTTGCGGGTAGTAGTATAAACAAATAATAGCATGATTTGTACGTGATATTTGGCATAAATACCACTCGTGATATTTCAAAATTGTCTCGAATTTCACTCGCCTAACGGCTCGTGAAATTACGTATAACAATTTCGAAATATCACTCGTGGTATTTATGCCAAATATCACTACAAATCATGCTATTACCTATACAAATGCCGGAAACCGTTACTGGTAAGTCTTCTTAACTTGTGATGATATTAAAGAACGACCCAAGACCACATTTTTGTGGTGAATGCCGGGGCACAATGATTATGTTTGAACACTGGTTCACTTGCACTACACCTCTCAATTTCACACGTTTCAAGGGAATCATCAAAGCCTTCAGTGGAATGTGTTTGCGGCTCACGTCAATAACTTTTCTAGTAATTTGGTTGAGTGTATTGATTTCAGTGGCTTGAGTGGCGCAACTGTGGGCTGGTCACGTTTTTCCGAATAAATAACATTGGGCTAAAATGTTCGTTTGTCCAGTGCCGAAAATATTACAAGTCATGATGAAATGGTGCCGCCGAGCTTCACAGATCGATAGTAGACCTTCAGCAAACTCTTAAATATGTACGCTTTACGAAGATTCAGCACACTTTTAAAAGATGAACGATTGACGAAGACAGAATAGCAGACCTCAGAAAACGTTTGAAAGATGAACGCCGAGGACACACGAATCACCACGTTAGTTAGCGCGTCAAAGTGAGGCAAAACGTAAGCAAGCGCCTCAAAGCGAGGCAAATGTGTGTCGACGACGACGAACGAATGCAATCTCAAAAAAAAAACCTCCCTTACTAATTGCACAGAACACCCAACACAAATTAGGGGATGTAACATCTGTAAACCTGAAGAAGGCTGGTATGGCCAGCCAAAATATTGTTATAAAACACAATACACGTTGTTTTAAATCCGCTTTGCAGTAGTCTTTAGACTTCTCGTTCTTGTTTCTTCTTCTTGTTTCTTGTTTGCCAGAAAAACACAAGTTTTCTGGCAACAATCAGAAGCCAGAACGGCGGCGACCGTTTGGAACTGGTTTGGTAAGACATTGTCCCCAGGGGCTCTTCTCGCCGTTCTTTACTTTTCTTCGTGCCATATTTTTCCGCCCGTTTAGACTTTCCCTCGCCCCCTTTATCTGCCCCCGGGTCTCCGAGGATGATGTCGCCCTTCAAGTTGTCTTCTTGCTGTTCTTGCAATGTTTTTAGCTATTGTTTCGCCTAGTTCTTACTCTTGAAACGAGTGAAATGTCCGCCATTTTTCAAGTTCACAACCAAAACAACTCAACCTCGTCTCCAGGTCTTCTCGGTTAACGGTGCCTTAACCTGCGAAAACGCTGCATTTTTGACGTCAGTTCCTCGTTAATTACAAACTTCTTCCAAATTTAGTCATCAGTAACTGGTTATGGCGAATTAATCGTGTGCTTTTAGCCAATCAGAATCGGGAAAATATTTTGAATGAATAATAAAACTAAATATTCTATGGAACGTTTTCTTTCTATTTGTGGTGAGAGCATGTCTAAAGGCTTTTTAAAGTTCTATAAGCTTATAATCAAACCTGATACTGGGTCAGATCATTGTCTCAAATCTTACAAACGTGCATAAACCAAATAGCCGCATAGACTACGCTCGACTTCATTAAATTAGATATAAAAAACAAACATCAAATATAATAACTACTCAGGCTTACCATTCGAGATGCACTGAAAACTATCAAGTAAGACTAGAATCGCTTCAGACTTTTTCAACCGTCTTACGCATCAAGCAAGGTGAAAAACGAAAACGATGCCATCCGAAATCGGATTTATTTCTCAACCAAAAACCCAAGAAGCAAACTAGCCACGAATAACAGAAGACTCTTGATAGCAGCTGAATTTCACTTTGTACATTCAGTGGAAAAAAGACAGTTAAAAACAAAAGTTGACACAAAACTCTGTCAGCTTCAGCTGGCGAAGTAAAGAAGATTTAAGATGCTGCATAAATTTTGCGCATGAACTCACCTGTCAAATTTTGGCCAATCAGAGTATAAAAATTGGACGTAAAGGGTGACCAACGCGTGACCTTGGTGAGAAAAGTCAAAAGCAAAAGGCATGTCTTCCCTGCCTGTAAAAACTGGCTGAATTTTAGCTTCCGAGGTCAGTTTGAAGTCAAAATTTTAATTGTAGGGTCCTTATAAAACACATTTCATATGAATTAAAAAAATTAAACTTGAGCCTGAAATCATTTGAAAACTAGTAACTTGTCAGCGGATAACGTCAAAAAGATACTCGACCTGAGCCCGTGATACGGTCAAGTGATACTGGTCAGCGGATACCCTGTTTTGACAGCTGTCAGCTGTATTTTTGGAGCTTATCACTCAAGTAACCAATCAAACAGTCCCAGACGGGGCTGCAGTAATCAAAATGAGGCATAATTAAGGCGTTATAAATTTGAATTGCAGTTTCTTTGGATATAAAGGGCCGCACACGTTTTAGGGCGCCTATAGCTGAAGAGACTAAGAGATTTGTTTGTCATGTCGTAATGCGTTGCTTCTATGCCAAAGTAGCCGTTTTTGTCCACATAATTGACCATCTGCTAAAGGCTCATTAATCATGTTGTGATTTGGGGGAGCCCCTCACAGACTGGATAGAGAAACTATGAGAATAGGGTCCCACTAACAATGAAACCGATTTTTTTCTTGTTCCAAATAGAAAAGTTCTTATTTAGAAACGGAAACATTAACAATTCTAAATAGCCCTGACTAAAGACCAAGAGATAATCAAACACCTCGGCTAAGGACAGGGGCGGGCGTGGCACTGGTCACATGTTCTCATCCACTATTAAGCTCCTGTTTACACCTGAAACTCTAAACTCTATTTTAACCTGATTTTGAGCGTCAAAGGTTTCATTCCTTATCAGTTCACAGGTCGCCCACTCGTCCTTCGACACGAAGCAAAGTTTTTTTTTCACTCTGACGGAAAGATTAAAAAACTGTCGTTATTAACTATAAGGGTAACACAATTACTGGTAAACCATTAGTTTTCATTGCGGCCCACAGGGTTAAGATTCCCAACTGGCCGAAAGCAAACCAGTTGGCTATTTACAGACTTTACAAGCTTGTCCGAGGAGTTGAACTCTGCGCCCCCAGATTTCCCGGAGTAGTCAATCGATAAAAATCGTTAGCAATCAAGTGATTTTTATCGATTGATAACGGAAATCGGTGAAAATCGATAAACTAGATTGCTGTGTCAAATCGATATTATCGATTTTTCATGATTTAAACGATTTATAATGGTAAGTCCGACATTGTTGTTTTTTGGCATAAGTTAGATAGTACAGCTGAGAAAACACATCCGCGAGTAACAACTGATCAACAAAGATAAAAATAAGAAATGTGGAAACTATTACAGACACAAGATTCTCTCTAAAACCGTGACCCTTTTGTACATAAAAACAAAAACGGTTTGGTTCAATTACATTCGCAGTTCTCGCAGGCAAGTACCACGAGAAATACAATTCAAGATAAACGATTTCCCCGCCTGAATTTCAGACATCCCCTAGAGTGGAAGGGATGCCTGAAATTTGGGCTAAAAGATTTCCCTCGATAGATTTTCACCGTTTTCCGTTATCTGTCGATAAAATCACTTGATCGCTATCGATTTTCATCGATTTCGGTTTTTATCTATTGGCTTCTCCAGCAAGTAACTAAACACGGAAATGATGTTATTTTGAAAGGGTGGTAGATCTAAATCGTGAAAAACTGGGCGCCTACAAACCTGGCCAATTTCGGCCATCAGAAGAAAACTTTAAACCGAGTTTTAAAGAAAAGATGAGATTCTTTTAAACTTTTCTTTTTTGGAAAAAAGTGATAATAAATTGTTTGATCCTTCAACTCTCAATTGCAACTCAATTGTCAACAAATTCACTGTTTGGATGAAATCAATTTTCATTTTTGGATGAACAGAAGAACAGATGTATCTTCCGATATAAATCGATGAAATCGGTACAATCTAGATAAATCGATAAACGAAACAAGTGTGTCATCGATTTCTACCGATTGATCGATACAATCGATATCAATCAAATCAGACTTACCGATTTTTATCGATCCATCGATTGATAAATCAATACCGATTTTTACCGATTGACTACTCCGGAGATTACAATTCTCTGTTTATCTATTTTCACTGGTGGAAGGATAGTTATTTACAACGGAAAACGATCACAAAAGAACTGCTCTGTCCATTTTAAAAAACAGCAATGTCCACTAATCAAAATAAAATAAACACTACAAACATAATTTGAACTTTCGACTCAACCAATTAATCAAAGGTGACCAAACGAGATGATACTGTTACAAAGGACAACTTAAAAACTGGAAGAGGTACGAAGATTAACAAATCCTAAAGACCCAACTGTTCCTCAACTTCGACAGCCATCTTCAACAACATGTCTCATATGACTTTCATAATGTTGAAGAAGAAGAACTTCACTGTTCATCTCCTCTTGACAAACCCAGCAGCTGTGTTTCTCAATGATATCTGTTTGCGGAATTTCCATATCACTGTTTCCATTTTCTCTACGAGAAAGCGTGCTGTTGGGAATTCCTGACATTATATTACTTCCTGCTCTCTTAACCTTACACTGCAAACGATTAAAAAGACTTTTGTCACTGTGGACTTCATTGTGCCTCCTAAGAGCACTTGAATGATGAAAATACTCGTCACACTGCTTACATTCATAAGGCTTTTCTCTGGTGTGAAACCTTTCATGTCTCTTTAGAATTCCTGCTGCACTGAAACACCTGCCACATTGTTTACATTTAATTGGCTTTTTCCCAGTGTGAACACTTTTATGCGTCTGCAAGCCTACATCATGACGAAAACGTTTTTCTTCCTTGTGAACTCTTTCATGCCTCCTTAGGTCTCCTGATTTGCTAAAACACTTTCCACAATGTTTACATTCATAAGGCTTTTCCCCAGTGTGAACTCTTTTATGAATCCTTTGGTGTCCTGACTGGCTAAAACACTTGCCACACTCTTCACATTCAAAAGGCTTTTCCCCAGTGTGAACTCTTTCATGAATCCTTAGGTCTCCTGATTGGCTAAAACACTTGCCACACTGATTACATTCAAAAGGCTTTTCCCCAGTGTGAACTCTTTCATGACTCCTTAGGTCTCCTGATTGCCTAAAACACTTGCCACACTGTTTACATTCATAAGGCTTTTCCCCAGTGTGAAGTCTTTCATGACTCCTTAGGCCTCCTGATTTGCTAAAACACTTGCCACACTGTTTACATTCATAAGGCTTTTCCCCACTATGAACTCTTTCATGAATCCTTAGGTGTCCTGATTTGCTAAAACACTTGCCACACTGTTTACATTCATAAGCCTTTTTCGCGGTGTGAACTCTTTCATGTCTCCTTAGGTTTCTTTCTTCACTAAAACACTTGTAATACTTTTTACACCTTGACGACATGGACTGTAGCTTCCTCTGCACCTCTTTGACATAAAATAAAGACATAATCATTCAACGTTCCTAAAACATTAAATCTACCTTATTTTAAAAAATACATTTGCTTGTACAATGTAATGCATCAGTCAATTGCAGCTACATCCACATCAGCCTTGTGCCACCCCAGGGTTACCCCCACAAATTGGTATTTTTCTTTGAAGAGCCAAACAGCCCAGACTGGGCGAAAATAGAGAAGGGCAAACACTTCGTCCCAGGAACATCCCCAATTAGGACCTTGCACTGCAACAGTGGCGACACTCTCGTCAATTTAACGTGTGATTTTTTGTTTCTGTATGTCTGCCTTCCACCTTTTGATCCTCTGTAATAGCCAGGGCTTAAAGAAAGTCAGTTTGACCACTTGTCATCCAGGCAGGCTGTAGCTACTACATACGAACATGAGAGACATTTAAGAGCAAGATTAATATTTAATTATTATTTACTGAATTAATTCTTTTTAATTCATTGTAATGACAATCATAATGTATTTTTACAATTATTTGTGACAGTTTTACTTTTTCAGAGCTGCTTGAAAAACATCTTTTGATCCACATGAGATAATTAGGAATTAAAACAACAATTTGTCTCACAATACTTCAGGAATTTGAATTCCCCAAAAAAATGAACTAGCCTGTTGGGAAGTTAAGAAAAGAATTCACTTGCCCCCTGCAAAATCCATACCACATCTCAGAGGATTTAAAGGACAACAGCACGCCACATTCAAAAGAAGAAGAAAGACAAAGTGCTTTGAATGCTCTTTCTCTCAATGGCTGCTGCTATCCAAATTCCTACTATTAAAAACGAGGTCAAAGGAATTTCCCTAAAAAATGTGGTTAATCTCCCTAAAAATAGGAAAGATGGGAAGACATGTTGTAATAGTGTTTATGATCTAACACCAAAAGAAAATCAATCACTATTAGTATACCAAAATTTTAGTAGTATGTGTTGATCTAATACTGTAGTTTGAAGGGCTCCTCATGCATTTATCTTTAGCAACATCAAAGCAGGGAAACATCTGAACACATTATGATGTCTCATTGGCCCTCAACTTCAAGGCAAGTATCTGGCAAATAGTTACGTCAGTTTATTTGTCCGGCATCTTTTGCTAAACAAAACCCAGTTGGCTGTGATATTAATTTTATTGTGACAAGTTATACCATTTCATGACAGAATATAACTAACTTACCATGACTTTCTAGTCATAAAGGCAAGAAAATATCTTGTTTTTACTGGAGAAAACATTTTGCATTTGTGACTCACTAAACACAAGAAGAGATATTTTCACCGTTATTTTGGATTTATGAAGCTTAAAGTGTCTAAGTGAAAACACGACTTTAATCTTCACAATCCTTAAAATGTCTGCTGAATAACAAGTACCATGGCCTTATTTCTACGGTCTATAAGAATGTAGACCATGGAGAATTGTGGTTGATTTTTTTTTTACAATAACATTTATTTTTAGTTTCCTGTGTGACATGTTACGTCATTTCCATGGTCAATACTCTCACAGATGATAGCTCTTGACCAACCAGCTCGCGAGGATTTGCTCAGTTTAATTATAAAATATACAGTCAAACCCCGGTTAAGGGACACCGGCTTAATATGGACATCCCTTAATACAGACAATGGGCACTTGTTTCACGTCCAATTAACCAAGATTCTCACATATCAAGTTAACCTCACTAATGCGGGCACTTCATTGTCAACTTCAAGTTGTGATAAACATTTCCTTCTTGAAGACAAAACCTTTCAGTTCACTATGTCGATGTTCCAAGCAATAAAGTAGACCACATAGGATGATTTGTAGACGTCAATATGTAAATTACTTTTGGCATCAAACAAGTTAAGCAGAGAATGGTTTTGGTTAATTAATATATGAATAAATGTTAAAGAGTGCGTCAGTGAATTTAGTCCACAGAATGAAAGCTTTCTGAAGGTTAGAGATGTTTTATTTGAAGATGCTAATATCCTTTTTCGTTTCATTAGCATTTTGTTTGAATAAAAGGTTTTTTACCTCAACAACATTAAACCAGCTTAGTATAGTAAGAACACCTCATTAATATGGTCACTTTGTACAGACCCTTCAGTGTCCGTATTAACAGGATTTGACTGAAACAGGAGTGTGATGTCACTAACATTATTATGATGCCATTTATATACAGGGTTCGTACAAAAAAATTGCAACCATTTTTAAGGACTTTTCAAGGACCACATTTGACTTTCAAGGACCACCTACCAGGAATGTAATTTCACATATTGAACAAAAATGCAAATTCCCTTGAGTGCACCCTAACATAACTTTAAGGCTTGAACTGTTTGCTCCACCACCTTCTCTGCGTTTTTCAGTTTACTTGTCTTAAACTGATAATTAATTCATGCAAAAGACAAAAAACACTTAATGTGAATCACCTTTAAGATCTCTAAACTATGATTTATTTTCTGTCTTGGACAACCACAAAGAATTAAAAACACTTTCCAGGCCACTACATTCCAAGTTGAAGAAAAGTCAAGGACTTTTTAAGGACTTTCATAGAAATTTAAGGACTTTTCAAGGAAAAAGGAATTCAAGGACTCTTAAAGACTGTGCGAACCCTGATATACACTAAGTTAAGAGTGGAATTAAGCTTGGCAATTCCTGCATAACCTGCAATCAGGCGGTCCTTCTTCCATTTTGTTTGGGAGAAAAGGAGAAAAGGCCCGGGGGGGGGGGGGACTCCCATTTGAAACAGACGGGGATGCTCGTCGTCTCGCTTAGGGGTGTAAATTTTGGATTTTGGTCTCGCTTAGGGTGTTCCGGGCAAAGCGCCAATATTTTAAGCCTCCAAGGTCTCGTTTAGGGTTCCGCGAAGAACTTGAGATTTATGACGATGCTTTTAAAAACTACTTTGCGATAAAAGCATTCGATGATTATGTCGTTATATCATTAAAACTCATTGCATGTCGTATTTGAGTGTTTTTAAGCAGTCTCTTTTAGGGGTCAAAATTTGCTTAAGCCACGCCCAGATTGGTCTCCGTTAGGGGTCACTAAAAGCTTGAGCCACGCCCAGATGGTCTCCTTTAGGGGTTAAATTCAAAATTTCCGACGAGCATCCCCGTCTGTTTCATATGAGAGTCCCCCCCCGGGAGAAAAGGATACCTGATACATTTACTTTATGTGTTGTTTGCCTGTAGTCTAGAATCTAGACTTTTGTCTGATTGGTCGAAAAGCAAATGATCCTTTGGAGCCCTTCACCGATATTAGTTACAAGCAACAAACATTGTATTTGACTTCTGCTGTAATTAGATAGCTTTTGTCCCTTGTCTCTCGGGACAAAACCATAAGATGATTGAGGAATATTTCATTTACGAGTAAACTTAGGTTAAACGAAGTCTTAAAAGCAAAAAATAATTACAATTTTCTGAAGTGTGCACTTAAAGAGGCTGTCAAGCTATCTGCTGTTGTTTTAAAGTGCTACAAGTGAATTTTACACCAGCTGAATTCCAAAGGTAATGGTTTAAGATATTCAAGGCAATATTTAGGCACTGAAACTATTTCCTTTCACCTGATAGCAAGGTGGGGCACATGGATTGAAACTTGGAAAAAATGGGATATTCATTTTTTAAATTTTAACTACTATGCTTGCCAAAATCACCAAGAAAAAAATAACAGTAGAACCCCGCTGTATGAACACCGGCTTAACACAGAAACCTGAATATGATAGGGAGTTTTGTTTGTTCTAACAAAAAGCACATATTATATTTTTTTTTCTAAAATTAACCTGCTTTACAGACACTGGATATAATTTGCACAATGTCAATGATGTAATGTGTTCACCTGAGCAGTGAGACAACTAACAACTGGCTTCAGACAAGTGAAGTGCTTGACTCAAAAACATTTTTATAAAAAATTTATAAGCCTGCCAAATTTTCTTTTTCCCTTCTGTTAAACCCCTGAAAAATTTGGCTACATTGCCCACATTTCTTGGAATCAGTATGGCACAAAAACGTTATGGGTTTCATGAACAGACAAAATGTGAGTTTTTCTTGCCACCTAAAGCTAAAATTACCAAGCACAGCTCAGAAAATACTATGACTTGCTTGGAAAAATAATTTGATTGATGAACTAAATTAATGTAGTCATGTGACCAACTTGGAGGCCTGGGAAGCTCAGCTGGAAAGTCTGCGAGACTCATGGGCTCCCTTAAATGTCTTTTTGGGTGACCATTTTGGAGGCCTGGGTGCCTCAGCTGGAAATTTTTCATCAAATGCTTAGGGGTTGTTCACATGACAAAATTGCACTGGCCCGAGTTTCATACCAGGATGACGTTTTGATTTTGTATTATGTTTATATGATGATGGGTCATTTCATATCTCGGTTATTTGAATGTACACTACATGTTGATAAAATACGTGTGAATCAAATCGGAAACATTATGCATGTGCCACCCATTCCAGTCAACTTGCAGACCGATTTGACACCGAAACAGGTGGTCATTTCACGTTTACATGATGCCATTGTGAAATTTTTTACCTCACTCCGGTACAACAACCTGAATGAACTCACTTCAGGGTGACTCACAACGGCATGGCATTTTGTGATGGTCTTATGTACACAAATGTAGAACCATGAAAGGGAACCAGAGTGAACTCAGGCCGGCGTGAAAGTCGCCGTGGTGTTATGTAAACACCCCCTTAGAGTAAATCCTTGGAAACCAGGCACTAAGTAATGGCTTCAACACAGAATTGACATGAAACAGCTGCAATATCATGACAAAGCCCATTAAAGCTTAAGTGTTGTTTATGCACGGAAAAGTGTGGTTGATGCATTTAAGTTTCTTTTTTTTTTCAAGTGAAAAATAGCAAACAGAATTTTTCTGAGAACTGAGAAGGAAGGTTAGTCTTCATATAATGCTTGCAGCCTGCCTAGCAAGCGTTTCCATTTAGTTTTGGAGCCAAAAAAAACCGAGGAACGGGATTTTCAGTTTTGA